ATAAAAGTTCGATATCTAAAATATATTGGTCAAACGGCAAAACTTGAACCTGTTGGCTTCAAAAAATATTTTAGGAAACAACTAAACAACAAAGAAAACTATTTCCAAACTATGTGATAGTACCTAAAATTACTGAGATTTTGCCCAATCGCCAAGTATGGCCAAAGAAATATATAATAAAAGTTCGATATCTAAAATATATTGGTCAAACGGCAAAACTTGAACCTGTTGGCTTCAAAAAATATTTTAGGAAACAACTAAACAACAAAGAAAACTATTTCCAAACTATGTGATAGTACCTAAAATTACTGAGATTTTGCCCAATCGCCAAGTATGGCCAAAGAAATATATTAAATACACTAAAATTGTGATAGATGTTTATGAAATATGATAGTTTTTTGGCTAAAATCTAACACAGGCAATATAGAGCGGAACTTTATATAGATCTTTAAAGAATGACAACTTTAATCACGACATATTTGGACTTTAAAAACTATCAATTTATTTCAACCTACTTCGAACTACTTCCATAGCAATTTAAAACTGATTTGAGACTTCTATAAGCAAGTAAAAAGTTTATCCGAAATTGATTTTTTCCCCTTTGGGGCAAAACATGTCATATGTTATGAAATGAAAACAAACTTAAAGTAAGCCAGCAGCCTGGGTTAGTCTGGGGTCACAACTCTCGGTTACCTTCAAACGTGAAAAATGTATAAATATAGCAGCCGAGTCAGCTGCCGAAATCACAAGCAAGCGTTCATTTGCATAATATGTAAGTATAAAAAACGCCAACCAAGGCACTCACTACCCACAACAACAACAGCAAAAAAAAAAAAAAAATAAATAAATAAAAATAAAAATAAAAAAAATAAAGTAAAAGCAGCAACAACAACAACAACAACAGCAACGGCGACAGCAGACAGAGATGTCAGAAATGTCAGCTTTATTTCCGCAGCATTTTTCCATCTCTTTTCATATAATTTGGAATGTGTTGGTATAGAGGTTTTGCGAGTCTGCTTTTACGTCTTCTTAATGCATAATTTAACAGGTGCCCTTAGCGAGAGTCGAGGGGCGCGGCGAGCGGCGGACTGAAGTGTGGGTCAGATGAGGGGCATAGCAACAGTAAGCGCACACAAAAGCAGGCAACAATCAGCAACTGCGTGTTGTTATTCAAAGCACAAACACTGCACACACACACACACACACATTCATTCACAGTTGGCATATATAGCAGATGAATAAGCTGCACACTAACGAGGCTAGAACTGAGGCTAGAACTGAGGCAGAGTCTAAGGCTGAGGTAAATAATGTGTAAAGTGAATGTTCTTCAATTCAATTCCATAACGCACTGGCAAACACATACACACATACACACAATTAACTTATAAACCTGGCTATTTGATATTTTTGTTGTCAACTTTTGTCGCTTGATTAAGTTTGCTACGCCAGGTTTGCGTTTACAATGTCACTACAAAAAAGACACCACATTTATGTTCTATATTTTATTACAAAGGTAATACGCACACACACGCACACATACAGCGATGCACAAGCACAGATACACACACAAACGCGCGAATGTATAAAAATATAAACGCGCCAGTTGGAAAAACGCGCCAAGTTGGAAAAAAAACAATTTTGTGAATTTATATAAAAATATATATAAATATTATATACAACGCAAATTTNTTTTAGGTTGGGCACACATTTTTGTTTACTTTTTGAATGGGCGAAACCAAAAAAAAAAAAAAAAACAAAATATATACTATATTCAGATTGTCCTTCGACCGCATGCCTATGGTCCAATGTTGATGTAGGTCCGTCTGGCCAGAGCAGGTTAACAGCCCTTTTTCGAGCTCTAATTGAAGTTGACAAATCCTCAGAGAAGGGGCTGTGGTGCAACACGGCTTGTAATGAAAATTAATGTGCTGGGATGTAGGCCAGATAGATTGCTCTGGCCTTGCTCAGCCAGCAAAAATTAGCTAAGACAATTGTAAGTACAATTGTATAGAATAATTGAACGAAAGCTCTGCTCCTAGGAATACATATATCCTTTAAAAATAAATGTATCTACATCTTAGGATCTCCAGCTGATGCAAGCCTATTCAGTCAGTGCTTCAGGCAAAGCTCTATACAAATGTTTGCTAATTTTAAGAATTCTCTTTTTCACATCTTCACAGCGGAATACATACATACATATAAAATATATATTCTTTCTTTGAGCATTCCACACAATTCTTTTGCAGCTAAATGAGTAAAGTAAATAAAAATCTTAGTCTCCCGCAAAGAGAGAAAATTCCAAGACAAGAAATGTCTTCGAGGCGCACTCCTGGGAATAAAGTCGTAAAAGAGTCGGGCATTTCCTTCTAAACAAACTCCAGGCACAAGCTAGCATTGGCGAAATACTTTAATATACTGTAATGAAAGTTTTGGCCAAACGATTTGATAAACAATTCCGAGTCTAATAAAAGACATTTAACGTCTGGGGAAAACACAATTTGCGACCAAATTAAATACACCAGAGGCGCAAAAAAATAAAATATTTTAAGACGCATTTTAACCATTTGCAAAGTTGTGCACGAAACTCAAAGGAAACCACAAGGCTAAATAGTAGGATAGGCCACACGGGCATAGGACATAGAAACGCACAAGCAGACGGGCCATAAAGCAGGAAACTAAGTGAGTTATGTAAGCTGGGCCAACTGTTGCCAAATAAAGCGGCACAAATTGTTTTAATATATAGAGCGACGAGTTACGCCAACTGGTCTAGAATATATGTAAAGCTAAGGGATAAAACAGTTCAATATGAAAAATATTAGGCCGTATACATTTGTAGAATGTTTACAGAGGTCTCTGGTGAAAGGGAGAGAAGAAACCTTAATTGGCACTTTGGTCTTTGGCGATTTTAAGTTTGAGTGCATTGATACAAGGATTTTGAAAAAGAAACAAGCTATGAAATTCAGACATAAATATATTAATAACAAAAATTCGATATCTAAAATATATTGGTCAAACGGCAAAACTTGAACCTGTTGGCTTCAAAAAATATTTTAGGAAACAACTAAACAACAAAGAAAACTAT